TATCGTCGTCGTAAGATTAGATAAAGATAGACACACAAACATGCAATGGCGGGTTGGTGTGGCTTACTATATGAAATTTTACCTAAAATACAAAATAAATATGAGTTTTTTTTTAAGCTGGAGTTAATTGTTTTTATATTAAAAAAAGTATATTTTATTTTAAAATCTTTTTTTGAAAAAAAGGGATACAAAGCTTATCAGATGAATAGAGTAAACATAATGATGAAATAAAACGTATTTTTATGGTTCTAATAAATCAAACAATATAAAATAGGTATCTAATAAAATGTAATTAATATAAAATTTATATGAAATTATAAATAATATAAAATTATTAATATAAAATAGGTAATAAAATATATTTTATAGATAATTCATGAATAAACTAAAATAAGAATAATTAATTATTTTGTATGAAAGTTAAAACGTAGTTTTTATTATAATTTCCAAAATATTTAAAATCAGAGGTAACAAATTAACTTACTCCATTAATTATATAGTCTCCCATTAATGTAGGATAATCACAAATGCGGAAAAGTGGCAACATTGAACCTAAATGGCAATATTCGATAATTTTATTTAATTATTTGAGGTTTTTTACGTTTATATGAAAACAGGAACTAAAAATTATGTGTTGAAAGTGATGTTGCTTGATTTATTACGTTTTTGTGACCTTGAATAGCATTCTTTCACTACACATTTACCCATTTTTGTCGCGGCTCAACTCTGTCGGCGTCACATTGAACAATGAACTCACGTTAGCTAGGCATATGGCTGTGGCCATATGTGCAGTGGCAACGCTTTGGCGCGGTTATTACTGATCTAGGGTTATATAAATCAATGCCAAGACGTATATCTTGATTCCGTTCTCATGTCTACGGTAGTAAAATACATTAGTTATATTAGAACATGGTGAAATAAGTGTAGCTACTGTTGGTATCAAGATTGATCATTACTATCGAAGGTTAGATCTTGGTAGGTGGGTACTATAAATTTAAGTGTAGTGCTTAAAGTATAAATGCGTGGAAAGGCGTACGAACGACATTGACCCGGTGGAATGGAATTTATTACAGCCGGTGAATGGTAGATTAGATTATTGACCGAATCGTAATATTGGATTGCAATGTCATGGTATTATTCAAACACATTTCTACGTGGTAGAGCCATGCTGCAGTTATATTAGTAGTGTAGTTATAGCACGAACGGGTCGGCTTGACCGGGGAAGGACTACGCTCTCACAGAATACCAGCGTCAAATAGTAGCTTAATGCTGCTGTGTTTCGTATGGTGAGTGTAGAGAACCAGAGACCCTTTTTACTGAAAACGAGGCATTCCATCTTAGTCCTCACGGGTGATAACGCATCTGCATTTTTATTCGTAATCGAGGATAGATGTAGATGTCTATGGGCCACAGCAACCACTTACCATCAGGTGGACTGTGTGCTCGTTTGTCAACCTATCCTATAAAAATAAACACATGGGTTCCGTGTGCTGCAGCTTTTATTGACATTAAAAATTTATAAAAAAATTGATGATTAATTGTATTGATTGACTGATATAAATTAATTTGGTGACTTACAGAGCTGTTGCTAAGTGTTTAGCTTTGCTAAGTGCTTCCGGCGGCGAGTTCGAAATCCGCAAGGAAAAAGAATTTATATGTCCGCCAAAATATAATTGTTCCGGTTTCCAGAACGGGTTGTGTGATTTTTGTGAATTTTTAATTTGTATACGGATGCAGGAGAAAGTCTTTACAACAAGAAAAGAGAAACAATTTTTAATCGAGAATACTAAATCTATTTTGTCTGTGACTGTGGGCCACAGCATCCACTTACCATCAGGATCAGGTGCACTATAGACTCGTTTGTCACTTCTACTATAAAAAATTTAAGCCTCATTTATTGTTGTAACCTTCGGTCCTAAATTCGGTCAAATTAAGGAACGAACTGTTCCGAATTACTTTATAGAAACGCGCGATAAAATGTGCGATAGGTTGCAAAATAATCAATTTAAAATCAGATAATGCATCTCAACTGACAAATTCAACTTGCGTAAGCAATGCACCAGAAATTCCGGCATATTTTGTATATTATTATATTCACTTCTCAGATCAAAAAGTTTACAAACAGTCTTAAAAATAGCAATATTTTGTCGTGTACAGTTATGTTAAAAACCGCTTTCAAAAACTATTTAAATTAATGAACGCATCTCAGTAATGACTTTACGTTATAAAATATTCTTGGAACCCACTAGTTTTTTTAAAGACTAAGGTTGACAGACGAGCACACAGTTCAACTGATGGTAAATGGATGATATGGCCCATATACATCTACACCTCAGTAAAAAACATCTTATTTTTTTTAAATCTTATCCTCAACACTAAGATTTTCTCCAGTATCGTAGGTGCCCCTATAGTTTTACATAGAAAATTTTCACAAGAACTAACATCCAGACCCGGAATAATTACTTGTAAGCCATACACATACTTGTTAAGTGCGGGATCCGATCTATCGGCAACTCAGTGCTAAGCCACTGCGCCACGGAGGCGTCAAGAATTGAAATGCCTGAGGACTTAGATGGAATGTCTCGTTTCCCAGTAGCGTTAAGCTTCACAGCAGCATTAAGCTGCTATGTTATTGTGCTTCCCTGGTCAAGCCGACCAATTCGTTCTAGAACCATAATACAACTGCAGCATGGCTCTATCATGTGTAATTTTTTTTTTCAATTAATAGCTTTGGGTGACAAACGAGCACACAATCCACCTGATGGTAAGTGGATGCTATGGCATAGACATCCACATTTATCCTCAATTAAGAATCAAAATGCAAATGCGTTTTCATCCCTGAGGACTAAGATGGAATGCCTAGATTACAGTAAAAGGGTCTCCGGTTCTCTCGCGTATGGAATTAAGCTGCTATTTTACGCTGGTATTCCTGTGAGAGTGTGGTCCTGCCCCGGTCGAGCAGACGCAATCGTGCTACAACTATAATATAATTGCAACGTGGCTCTACCGCCTACAAAAATAAAACATATATACAGCGACACTGTCCATCACTATAATACGGCACAGGGCAGCCTCTCTGCATCACTTTTGCTTGTACTAAAATAATTACGTCGACGGATAGACAGAGTAATCACATAATAAATTAATGGAATGACAGCAAAATTTCTGCACTGTATTGATTATTGTTTCACGCGTAGATATTAAAAAAAAACTTAAGTAACTAACGACAACGATTAAGAATTAGACATGGGACGAACTCGGTTTGGATTCGGTACTCGGCGGATTCGGCCTTTTTTTAGGGTTCGGCCGAACACCGAGTATTAACGGCCGAGTATCGAGTACTCGGCGTTAATTACATTCCAGAGAAAAATAAAGACAAAAAGCAAGTTTTTATCATTATTATCATATTAGACATATTAAAAAATCAGGAACATGAAAAACAGCGGACATATTGAGAACGTACATAAGAATCTATACTAGACATTATTATTACTAATATTTAAAATTTAAGAGAGAAAAATTGTGATGCATAAACATTAGTTTTTCGGCCTTATTTGGGTCTAGTTTGCTCCTTTTTGCTTCATATACTAAGACTTCATATACTAACCGCCTCTGAAAAAAACCGTTCACTGTTAACTGAACTGGCGGGTGTTTATAAGTATTGAGCCGCAACTTACCCCAAGATGGGGTAATAGCCTTTATTAGAAACCCACCATTTATATGGATTAGCATCTCTTGCGGTCTGGTAAGCTTAAGTAATGATCTAACTCTACTGCGGCGGAATTCTTAGGATCATTAGGTTGGTAACTTATTAATGCGTCAGCAGTTTTTTTCTTCTTCAGAAGCATGTTTGAATGAATTTTTATGTGTTTCCTAAGATAGCTTTTTCTTTCCGCTAAAACGATTTCTATAAGCAGTGATTTTCGCACCAGATAACGAAATTAATCTCTCGAACATAAGTTATTTGACAAGTAATCAGTAAACACTCATCAACGGTGTCCGTGGGTGTGTGACTGATCTAGTACTGATGTAAGTATTTTTCTTTCGATACTACTTAGTACTCAATTTTAAAGTATCAGTACCATAAGTACTTGGTATCGAAAGTAAAGTATCGAGTAAGTACTTGTATTTACTCGTATTGTTGCATTCCTAACTCTGTGTAAGGGAAATAACCGCGCGCCGCCCACAACCGCGTTTTTTTAAAGTAGTGTATTCAGCCGAGTACTCGGCGAATCACTACTCGTTCCATGTCTAATTAAGACTCTTAGAACTGATTCGTGTTGCCCTGACAGCACTTTATGTGTCTTCAACAAGTTTTATCAAGTGGACTCTTATGCCGGTTAAAGACGAATGCGGTCATTTACCTAGACGATTTATTCATTTTATTTTAAAATTATTCCATTATTATCTTTCACAAATGTAAATAACTGACATGCAAGGTCTTACAGTTTTATATAATATCTATAAGTAAACAAATTAATGGCTCAACTTGTACAAGCCCTACTGGGCATAATCTATCTCATTTGGAGAGGAATGTGAACAAATTAGTCCGCCGTGCTGCTTCAGTGCGTGTTAGTGGACTTCACATCTCCATGAATTTCTTTTTCTCAGACATGCGGGTTTTCTTACGATGTTTTCCTTTCACACCCGATAACATGGCAAATCATTAAATTTGAAATTTACACTTTTACGTTTCACGTTACACTCACACGTTTAACCTACCCCATATCACCCCGTAGGTGTCGTAAGAGGCGACAGGGGGAAACAAATCAGGAGATGGGCAGCAGGGTCTTCCTAATGACGACTAAAATATAAAAATCTGCGGTTGCCAACCCGCTTCCCAAGCGTGGCAACTATGGCAAATATCTTATGTTCTCTATAGGAGGCCTATGTTCTACAGTGGACTTTAATAGGTAGTAACGGTTTAGCCTTTGAGCACAAAAGGCCACTCCCGGCTCTAAGGTTCCACGGCTCGCTCAGCATGATCGACTAAATTTCAGAGAACCGGGCGGCGCGATGGAAGCCACCACAAGCCGCAACGCTAGCACGGGTCAGGTGAGCCGCTGGGCCTCGCTTAAAGTCCGGTAAGTTGCCTAGTAAATACGTCGCATATTTCGCGATTCTTCTTGTTTGCTTCACAACGTTTCTATTTCTGTTAGGTTCACTAACAGGAGCTTAGTATTATCATTTTTGTTTTTCTAACTTTATCTCATATTATATGTTATATCTATATATTAATACGTGAAGGGAAAATTTTGTACACCTTTTTAAGCATATTACGCACACGGAAGCTTGCGAGATTAAACACAGATAAAGTTTATGTCAAGGAGTTCAGTTAAAATTAATATATAATATATTATGTTATAAATACATATAAAATAAAATATAACATTCATTGTTAAAGTCAGTACTGCCAATGTTAGTTATAAAACACATAGTAGTCCGTGGTCAAACAGGCGAACAAACAAACACTAGGTAGATATTGTCGCCAAGGTGATGAATTACGGTCGAATTTCTTAATTAGTTTTGTGAACTTAATTTAATCAATCAATTCACATCAACTAATCAATTATCAACAAAGTCAAATGTAGTTTTTGGTACACGTGTAGGTACATACGCGATAATGTATGAGCAAATTTTTTGCAGCCAATATATCCGGCCGACTTATACGGCTAACTAAATGTGTATTTATTGTTGTATAAGTAGATTAAAAAAAGACACAGGCAGCAGCTTTAATTAAATAATGCACAGATGATATGTTTTAACTTATATAATATTTTTATAATTTAAATTAAAGTTGAATTCTTACAAATTTAAACTATAATATCAAAGATATATAGTTCTTTTTGGGATGACTAATATTTAAATTTTTAAGAAATATACTACGTATATTTCTGAAGTATGTACTATAATAAATTCTGTCGAATTTTATAATCCACATATCTGGCAATGACATAGAAGCTGGTGTTGCCAGAATGGCGGTCACAGCGCACCAGTCGCTGGTGTTCCTGGTGCATAACGTGGTGGGCTACTTGCTGATGCTGGCCGTCATGGTGTACAACGTGCACCTGCTGCTCGCCGTCGTGTTTGGCATGATGCTCGGTGAGACGTGGAACACAAATCGATTAATTAAAAAAACCTGGGTTATTTTTGATAGGTTTATAGTATATGGGTACAACGAGCACACAGTCCACCTGGTGGTAAGTGTATTCTGTGCTGTGTAGATGCGTTGTCACCCCTGAGGACTAAGTTAGAATGCCTCGTTTCCAATAAAAAAGGTCTCCGGTTCTCTACACTCACCATATGAAACACAGGCAGCATTAAACCGCTATTTTACGCTGATATTCTGTAAGAACGTGGTCCTTCCCCGGTCGAGTCGACCCATTCGTGCTACAACTATATTACAGCTATAGCATTGCTCTACCACGTATAATATATATTATTGATATATTTTTTGACCGGTCACCAAGCTCATACAATTATTGACACGGGCTAAAAAATTTAATAGGAAAAAAGCTTTTACGAACATTGGGAAAATTTCTGCTCAGCTTATTGTTTTATACTGGTGCAACACTAACGTTTAGTGTGGTTCATTATCGCAATAACTGACATTATCTAACGGTACTAGGTATATCTAGATTATATTATATAAATGTTGGTGAAAATCCTGAAAACAGATATTTTCAGGATTTTCTAAGGACAGTATATTATTGAAAAAATGTCCATTATTAGAAAAAGTTGAAGTTTCTAAGTACACTTTGACCACAGCTTACAAGACCTTACAATTGGGAAATGAATGTACAGAGCAACGGTGAGGGGAACTGCAGGGCAGGGGGTGAGCCGACTTTATGCTATCGCATTTAACCGAGTCTGATATTAACTAATTTTAGGTGCCGTTTTCGAAAAATGTAATATTATTACGAGCTTAGGATTCGTGACAATAAAAACTGTCGATTGAATAACCAAAATTGACACTTTAATTACCAAACACCAATTACAACTTAAAACACACAAATAATCAATCACAATTAACACTTTAGTTCACTCCGAAGTCTTCGCTTGTGTAGCCAATTCAATATTGCCCCGGTCGCGGCGCTAAACGGCTTTATATAGGCCTTTTCCAACGAAACATCTAGAATGTTCCAGCAAATACCGGTCCCGACCAACTCGATGTAGAAAATTCGAGTGTGGAGTTATCTAGAAAGCTTAGATCTTCTATTCAATAATAGATGGCGCTAGTGCCATGTACTAGACATCAACTGTGGCGCGCAACAACATCTATAATGGTTACTGCTGTAGTTATATGAGTTACTTAGTGAAATTGAATTCAAATGACGGCTATGATTGTTTCCCTCATTTTTTGTTGATAAAGTTGTTTACTCGTGTTCTAATGCATTACATAATTAAACTTAGCTAGCCAAAACTGAAATATCTATAAAAATTAAGTGTCACGAAAGCATTTGGCAGTGCAACACTTGTAAAGGTGTTATTTCCTGTAGTGATAAAAATGATCTTGTTCAATAAACGTTTAAAGTTATAAGTATGTACATAATGTTAATAAATTATAATGAGTATTATAATATCAAAATCATTTTATTTAAATTTTCGTGACAAGCTCTACCATACACGCTGGCTGCGTAAATACCTACGCGAGCGGCGCATCGCCGGACCTCAGTTCACAACTGTAAGGTCTTACAACTGTGCTTTGACAAAGCTTAGTATTTGTATTGACATTATCATATTAATTACACTCAGTAAATTATAAATATAGATACTTTGTAATAGGGCATATTTAAACGTAAAAAATGAAATAACTGACTTAAAATTTACAAAGAATAAAATAATGCACACATAATTTAATAACTAATGAAGTCAGGGCTTAATTCTTCCATTTACCTACTGTGTCTTATCACCGACTGCAGAAGCTATTAAATTATTTCGAATTGTATTATTTTTGAAGTGAAACTTCCTTAGCGACGTAATGGAAATTTTGTACAGCATTAAAAAACAAAAACGTCACATTTTTTTGTGACTTACCGCCGGAGCTGCATGAGTATACTAGAACATTTGCATACAATAACTTGCAGCTCGCGCGTGTGTGACGCTAGCCAAACATAGCAAAACTATACTGAATATTTATTAGGAAAACATTTCAGGTATTCCCCCATAGGTGACACTAATAATTTCTTTATTCTTTATTAGTATGGATAACAGTATCATGTACTTTTTCACCTCCTTAAACATCGTTGATGATTAAATCGGCATTTTGTAAAATATTTTTATCGATAGCAATAATCGATAAACGTCAACACTAACTCATTTGGTTAATAAATAATGACGTTACTGGATAACAGATAACGCTTTTTACCTTAATGATAAATGTTGTAAAACAATCTTTCAGGAATAATAAAATTTAAAAATTATTGGGTAAATATACATTATATTTGCGATAATAAACCGAAATCACATTCAGTTTACTACACCTTTATACCTTAATGAACAATCGGGCATATTTTCTTTAAAGAAAAATTAATTTAGGAAACTAATGCGTCTAGACCTTTGACGATGTCACTAAGACTAAATGATATAAATTCGAAGTATATCCTGTAGGGCTGAAGTAACATAACAGACGATCATTTTGTTGCTGATTTTCGGTTTATTGCTAATTACTACTTAAATGTCTTCGACTAAAATGTAACCTACCCATGTAAAATATAAAATAAATAAAGAATGGCATGTCGTAAAGGAGTTTGACGCACAATTTTTTTTAATTAGTTCTTTGAAGTCTGATTTTAATCTAACATTTGACGACATTACATTGTAAATTTGAGTTTGAACTTTAAATCGTCTTCCAATATCGTGCTAGTGGACCATTTACACGAGACCAACTATTTCACTTAGCTAAGCTATTATTGGCGTTGTGTAAATAGAGATAGCCCATTGCAATGGAGTCTTATGGACCATTTACACGAGGGAAAGAATAGGGTGTAACATGTGAACGGCACAAGCACGTAAAGTCTATACAGGGTCAAATCTATAAATAATGATATACCGTTATTGCAGTATTTGAAAATACGAGTAAATAATGCTTCTGCTTTTATTTGAAATTATCCAAAATTGAATGCGATTTATGGGCAACAATGTTTTTACCTACCGATCGACCCTTATAAATGTGTGCGTGCGCAGTTAAATCAGTAAAAATAATGCATTACCACGCATTTTGTATTTAAAAGATAAAAAGGACAGGGTGTATGAGATTTTTTTAAATTAATTTTTCTTTATCATTTGCCTGTATTACTTATTCTGAACCTTCTCTGCAAATTTGGCCGGTTAATGCAAAATAAACCTGTATAGGCATGGGCATAAATAAGCATCTCATTTTATAGTTTACTCTTAATTAATTAAGTGTTTGACAAAATGCTCTTCTAAGATCAATTCAGAGTTTATAATCGCTTTATGGTTAGCAGGAAGTTTTACGAAGGACCGACCGTCTAATGTACCGAAATCTAAATGCGAGAGACACCACTCACAGCTGTCTATAAGTGTACACAAACGTTTTATAAAGAATGTTATAGAAACTGACTGTAATACTGACCTATGTTTAAAAAAAGACTCGAATTTTTCGCTTTTCATTCGAATGGCTTTGTGTTGGCTTAGTAGAATGGTTCGTCAAATTGTCCCTAGGAGTTTTTGTTTATAGCGTTAGCATGGCATGCATTAAAGTTAGCTCGATAGCGATATCTACAAATAAAAAGTTTATTATATGTCAATAACTGACGAACATATTTTACACAAGAAAAGCGTCAAAAATAAAAATTGTAATATATTTTGTTTGATGTTTATTCATAGGCTACTTCCTATTTGGCACGAAACTGACGCGTCTTCAGATGCAGTGCTTCCGCACCAAGCGCGTCGTGATCTGCACGCCGGAGTGCGATGACACGGGTAAGCAGAAACAAATCATTTCGAATTTTGCAACAGTTTTCTAGTAAAAATGGAAAGCAACCACTTAAATATATTTATGTATTGTTAATGTCATATTTTATAGTTTTAAAGGAAGCTATGATTTTATATTACTATGATTCACTATTTGTAATCTTATAATTGAATTTAGTTTTCATTTTGGTGTAGTTATTCAAACTGGATCCAACCCACAGAAATTAAACTTTTATTAAAAATAAAACTAAAAAGTAAAAACCATAATTTCTTTTGTTTACGCGAACATTGCACATATAAATGAAACTAGTTTTTATGGATTTTATCGCGTGTATTAAATTATTTTCAATTCCCAACGTTTCGAGCACTTTACAGCACCCATGGTTAATGGCTGCAGAAATTGGTAAGAGAGTGAAGCTACCTATACATCTTTTATACGTGGTAGAGCCACGCTGCGGTTGTATTATGGTTGTAGCACGAATGGATCGGCTCGACCGGGGCAGGAGCACGCTCTCGCAGAATGCCAGCGTGAAATAGCAGCTGAATATTGCTGTGGTTCGTATGGTGAGTGTAGAGAACCGGAGACCCTTTTACTGGAAACGAGGCATTCTATTTTAGTCCTCAGGGGTGACAACGCACCTGTGTTTTGATTCTTAATCGAGGATAGATGTAGATGTTTGTGGGGCCACAGCATCATCTTATCATCAGGTGGGCTATGGTGCTCCTTTGTCATCTTTTTTTGTTATTGCTTGCTTAGATCTGGTATCTTTTACTTTGTGAATTTTGGGTCTGTCTAAGGATTAATTTGTCACTTATTTTTACTCGAATGTAATCTCATCATCTCGCCGTTAGAAAAATGTTTTCATCCCATCAACTTCATTTTCATTACTAACCTCTCTATGGAAGATTGCTCTACATATATACGGATAGTAGTTTTAGTGCAATTACAAAGAATATAAAATACTCAAGAATTTTGAATATTTTATTTAAAATTAAAACACACACATTTGGGGATTGTGGGAAGATTTTTAACCTACCTTAGCACCGTCACATATTAATTTATTCACAATTCATCCATAATTAACCTAACCCCTCCCCTTCCTCGCACAAGATCGTTGCAAGCGCGAGAAGTGCAGTTGGGAAGTGTGCGAGGGCAAACTATGTAAAGAGCTCGACGCCCTCGAACTGCAGCACACCTACGCCGCGATGACAGTGGAGCCACGCTCTCACAAGTACCTTATCGCCACTAACAATATCGTCATCTTTTGCATCAGTCATACTCATTCAGCTCACAATATCCATAAGTCTTAATCATACAAATGCAGACGTTAACATTTGCAAAATGTCCTATTAGATTAATTATGGCAATGTAAAATTCACATTTGTGGAAAAACGTCGGACATCTTTACTCTTCTTAAGCTAAAAACATATTACGTATTGCGGAACGTACTTCTCCAACTAGGAATTACTCACTGTTAAACTCCTGTCCGTTTTCTTTGAATGTGAATTCAGCATAAATTTAAATTCGTTATTGCATACAAGTAAAATATACTATGCCATATATTTTGGTATTAACCGAAAAATTACATGTTTATATTTTTTATTTTATTTTAGTTTATTTCTATTATGTAATTGAAATGTTCCATTGTATGATTTTAATTCCTTATTTATCTTCAGCGATCATAAGGATTACAGTAGTAATAATAGACATTATAACGTTTTTAAATCGATATTACTTTGTACAAAGTGGTGTACGACTTCATTTTCTTACAAATTATCGAATTTTGTTGAATATGAGGCAATATTTTATAGGTCGACTTGAAAGTGAAACAATATTTTTTTATTCCAAATCTTCAAGTTGATTTTCTACATATTTAATATTTTTGTGTTATGACATCATCGTGTATGTTTATGAAAAATGCAAAAACGAATGTGAATATATCTATAATAACGAATTCATTTAGTTATTAGAACATACTTTTTAGTATTGTGCATGTAATTTATTACTAACATAATTTATTTTTTGTTTTGTTAACACATTTGTGAATAACGTTTATTAATTTTTTTCTTCATATTTGCAGAAGCTTTGTTTGTAGAACTACAATACGACGCACAAATAAATTCTTTACTGTCCGAGGCAATATGCAAGCTGTTTAAATGACGGTCTAGATTTTTTTTAGTAGATTTTCTAGTTTTACTTAATTATAGAACTGGCAGAGTAGACGTAGACGTAGTGTTTTTAGAATTTGTCATAATTATTTTAAAAATAGTTAATTTGAAACTTTTTTGTTTTAGCTGACAACACCACACCACCATTGCTAACCTCATCAGCTGATTCGGATGCAGATTTCTTCATTTGCCGCACACGCACTTGTATACAACCGTCCCATTATTTTGCGGCGAGTACCTCGCAGGGCTCGTCCAACGATTTAGCAAACGCTACCTGCTATTATGGTGCGAAACAGTGCCCTTCGAAAGTAGCCAGAGCGAATAAAATTCAAGCGGCCGCCAGTAGTCATTGCCATCACACAGAAAGCGAAAAAGAAGAGAGTCCGAGCGTAGAGGATGTCCAACTTCTGAGAACGGAACGGCAAGGCTGTTGCAAAAAGAAGCAAGAGCCCCCACCCGAAGAGAAAAAGTGTTGTAGATCTAGTCAAATGGAATCCGTCGTCGTGGTGCACGAACCAGCTCAATCTTGTTGCAAAAGAGAAGAGAAACTTGAAAGAGTTGAAGTTAAATTAAGGGAGGATAGCCCTCAGATCACATGCTGTCATAATACTATGTCTGCGACCACGGAAAGTCAAGAACAAATATTGAACCAATGACAACTTATCTGTGCATAGCGTTACAGATAAGAAAAATAAAAGAGGAAAAAATGGGTTATTTAATTATCATCACAAATTCACGAGGCTCAAAATTAGACAATAATAGAATAAATAAGGCTACTATATAAGCGTGCTTTTGTATTCAGTATTTAAATATTTGTATTGCGTGGTGATTTTGTTTTCATATTTTTGTTAATTGAAAAAATTCCCAGTACCATAAGCGCTTCCTATTTACAACATGTACGTAAACTTGAGATGAATGTGAATGTATGTGGATCCATAATATTTTGTTTTAGGAATTAGACGTGTTATTAGTTTAAAAAGAATATTATTTTTGTGTATAAAGATATACGTATTATAATATTTTTAGAATATTTTTGTACATTTTTAAAATACCTTTATTTTGCTCAGTTAAGAGTACACGAATATATAAATATTTTTGTCATTACTTATCTGTTTCCTACTTTAAAAAAGACTTAAAAAATTAAGCTTTATACTTGCCCTAACCTTTGAGTTGCCATGTGGCAAACACTACATGGAATTACATAATTTGTATTGTTCATTCTCTGTAGTTTTAGTGTTGTTGTTGCAATAAATTATGACTTGTTTTTATTATTTTCACTACTCGTTTTTTATTTTCACCTTATAAAAGTCGTTTATATTTTTATTATTGACTTTGTACGCGGTAAAGCCATGCTGAGCTATATTGTGGCCGTAGCATGAATAGAATAATTTGTCTTATCTTCTCAGTTTCGAAGCACTCCCCTTGTGGCCTCAGCCAGTATCGGAATCCTCGGCGTCGACATATCGAGTGACGTGCAGTTTCGTGGTCACTTTGAAGAGAAGGCCAAATTAGCCTCTAAAAAGCTTGGTGTGCTCAGCAGAGTATTTCATGCCGGCACACCGCCTGCAACTTTTCAACTCGTTCCAATCTGGGCTGGGGCTCCTCAGTGCTAGCTCCTTAAATTTGATCGCATCCAGCGCAGAGCTGTTTGAATCGTCGGCGACCGAGCTCTTTCCGATAAAACTTACGATACCATCCACACCGTCTTGATGACTGGCGGTCCACTACTGTGCAATTTAAAAGAAGTTTTCTTCCTCGCACAATTTCGACGATACAACTTAGGAACTACCAAGAAAAGAGCCTACTCCTTTTTAAAAGGCCGGCAACGCATCTGCATTTCCCCTGGAGTTGTAGTTGTTCATAGGCGGCGCTAACCATCACTTACCATCAGTTGGGCCATATGCTCATTTGCTCCCCGTCCTTTAAAAAAAAATAGGGCGCCTCGACCGGGGTAGAAACATGCTCTTACAGAATACCAGCGTAAAGTAGCAGCATACAGCTTCTATGTTTCGTGTGCACCATAACTGCTGTACTCCTCATTTTGCAACCAAAAGCCGACTGGCGACGACTGGCCGTGAGTCGACACGCGTGTTGCATTTTAAACGCGTTGCTGCAGTTACGGACTAAGCGTTCCTGTGTACACGTAACCGACAAATAAGCATTCCACCTAAAGGTCTCCACAATTGTGTCATTTTACCGAACTTTATCCCGTAACCGTATCAGTAACACGTCTCAGCTGTCTGTACCGATAGTGTGGACGTCTTTTGTTACGCGATCAATTGTTACAAGCTGCAGTTACGCTTTAATCCATTCAGAACACTGGAAGAATCTGCTGGACACACAGGACAATGTACGGAGTCACGACCTACTAGCTAGGTCTAGTGTGAACGCTGGTCTGTGTACTGTTTCACATCTACGAGCTGATCCATCCAGAGTCGGGTTTTATTTCAAAGAATTTTGCTATTGTCTGCGTGACAAGGAGAGGTCCACACCATAGAAATATTAAAAACAGGAGAAGTGGCAAGGGGGCGTGTCTGTGTCCGCGCGCTATGATCAAAATGCTCAGCTTCTATACAAATGGCCGTCTCTGCGAATTAGTGCGCTTTCGACCGTCATCGTGAAATATTATCAGAATGCCATGTTGTTCAGTGGTTTCTTGTAAAAACCGAAGCCAAAATAAAAACTTTGTTAATCATGGAATCACATACCATACCTAAGTACAAGTATTTCATTATATTTATCTTTAAAATCATATTACAGAACAAATCGTAAAACACTTCTTTATCTTACTACGTTATTTTTTTTCCAAATATCACAGCCACTGTAATATTTTTGCAGTAAATAATGCTTGCATTGCTCCGTAATCACTACCTAAGTATGACGCCAAATGACTCAACAAGCAATGTAAATATCACAAAACAATACTTTATTTATGCGGATATATTTCGTAGTACGGCCGCTGTATCTTGTGACGAGCTAGTAATGTGCGTGTGCAGATCCACTATCGACAATAATGTGGATTGGCGAATTGCTATTATAGTTTATGCTCCAATTTGTCAACCGTTTTAACCCGAAGGAAGACCGATGTGACATAACGTTTTTTACTTATTTTGATTATTTTACAGCAACTACTACGCTTAATGCGTAACCAAAGGTCGTAAAGTAAGTTGATTAAATTTTAGGTTAATAATCGATGGAGTGTTCTTATATTTCAATTATCGTATATTATGCCTTATCTTCGAAAAATTTTCATAATTTTTATGGTTTTGGGGTTTAATATAATTTACAGTTTTCAAAAGCTTCGAATGTATCATAAATACCTAACCGGCATGGTTATAATATAATGACTTTGGCTTAAAATTATACAATTTAATTATTCTTGCTATTTATTTGTTAGACATGAGTGTGTATTTGTTTTCATATATTTAACAATATTATCACTAACCAGGAGTTTTAATAACAAAATATCGCTTAAGATATATGGAAATAATAAATAGGTTATTAATCGTACCTTTGCTTGCGATCTAATTTGAAAAAGGAGTGGATTGATGCCACTGAAAGGCCACCAGAATTCGTTCCCTAAAAAAACTAGTACTGGTCATCGTAATTTGTATGCGAATTAAAATTATCATAAAAACAGTTTGTCTCGCTAATGATAAATAAACAATTAAAACTAAAAATGTCAATCAGGAACTCATGGCAAAGGCTTTGTCAAATTTAATTTTTTTTAATGTTAAGTTTCACCAATTTGAGCAGTCCCCGATGAATACAAACTGTATGATTGATCACATTATATTTCTTATAAAAGCAGTCATGGAAAAATACATTAATTTAAGATTACACTATTTGACAAAAATGTCACCTCAGAAATGTAAAAACGTCAAGTGCTGCACAAATACCTTCACTATACAGGTTAGTGAGTAAGCACCATAGCATGGTTCCAAAATACCTACTACTTCAATCCACTATGATAGCCTAAACCAACATAACCGGATTTTTTACTGTTTTTATTTATTTTATACTTAGGGCCTTAAACATTTGAGTACTATTTTATTTTAAATGAAACAATCGATAACTTTCCAATTTAGTCAATCACTAACGTATATGTAAAATAAATGGCTTTTTTACAGCACAACGATCGTGCCCGATATTTTTGTGTGAGTAAGTAGTCCGGTGAATGGTAAATGGACGTTGTGGCTTTAGAGATATGGTTTATAATTAATTGAATAGTACGTTATTAAATGCGAGTGTTTGCGTGACTGCATATCTATTGCTTTTACTGATCTGTTTGTGTAGTAGTTGGCGTGTGGTAGGGGCCAACTGGAGACACCGGGTTCCGATACATTTTAAACTACTGGGCATATCTCCTTCATTATTATATCTATGGTCCACACTTACATTTATGACATGCGTCAAAGTACGCCAGATGACAGGATACAGTATTGGGTCATGTTGTGACATGTCTTGGTCCGCCCGCCCGCCCACACCTCACCGCTCCACAAATCGCAGCTCTTTTTTCTTTCTTATTTTTAGCACAAAATAATATTATAAAGGCTGTACTAGCAGCACAAGCCAAATGTAAATTTACTTCCCATATTTCTTCTGCAGACGACATATCTGCCTTGTGGTTGGTGTTTAAATGACAGCATCAACAGAATATTGATGACATGTAGTCTAGGTCGACACCATGCGTCTATACTAGCAACATTTCATTTTGCATGGTTTGTGACCGTGTCAGTACAACTCAGACTGTCCACATCAGGCGTAACATGGCCTGTGCGATGCCACGTATACGGTCCGATTTCATGTCACAAGTGTGCACGCACCTTTAGATTTCAAAGGTTACCTCTGAGATCTAAAGGTGCGTCCACCAACCAACCAACCACGCATCTGTAACATTCTTTATCTGAAACTTTCATTCGCTTGTTATTTGAAACATGCAGGCAGGGCCCTGTACAGCTTCACAGTTTCAAAAATCTTCAACATTACTATATGTGTTCATTAGAAATGAAACTCCAAATGTACGATGGATGTAGTGCATGTATTTGCTGAAGAGTACAAAAATCGTAAACTTACTTAATGGTCCGGCAGGACACTCTCTGCATCGTGAACTAATTTTTACCTTATAAATTTATCGGCGACACCTAGTGTTCAATCATTTACAACACAATAGAAAACAACACAGACAACTATAGTACGTTTCTAGAGCAGGCAGAAAAAAGTACATTGACCTTTGACGATATCATCGGGGTAGGCAATGTTTTTTGTTTAGGTTCATTTTTATCCTTTTATCATTACATACATCAGAGTGAAATATAAGGGTGCCGAGTGCCAAGTTCTTTACAGGCCCTATGTCTATTATTATATTATAAAGAAAGAGGATTATCCTGTACCTAAATGAATTTAAAATCAAATTAATATTAATTTAAATTTAATATTTATAAATCATAATCCCAATTTTCATTATTACGTTAATAGTAGGTAAGTACTTTAATAAGTAGGTAGGTAGATAGTTATATAAAACATAGCCACTACTTGGCAGTCAGGTAAAAAGACGAACTTTTAAAGCTAAGCATTCTTAAGCAGCCAACCTTGAAGCATGCATATAACTTCTCATAATAGATTGTCAGAGACACTTGATAGACTATTCATCTGT